ATGAAGAAGCTTGTTTTCAAATCTGGCACGGTTTCGAGTGTTCCAAAGACAAGCGATGGAGATCAGGACAGTAGGAATATACACCACATGACTTTAACAGAGTATTGACCATCAATAATCTTCATACAATCCGTCAAAGTAGTAACCGTCCTGTGATTTAGCATGTCACCCAACCAGTCCCAAATTTTCTTTGTAAAATAACAACCAAAGAAAATATGAAACAAACTTTCAGCATGCTGCCAACAGAGGAAGCAAACTAAATGGAGCTGCTGTGTGAAAAAAATGATAAATTATTACACCCAATTTTAGACCAACCAAAATAAAAAAAAAAGGTCAAATTAATAAACCATTTAAATGTGAAACCATTACACTGAACGACAAGCTGTTTTGATATCCATTAGAAGCTGATAAAAAAATGAAAGAATATTTCACAAACAATGAGAAAATAAAATTTTTTCTATCGATGAAAATTAAAATAAACTTGACTTACTTTGTGAGTTGTGAATGTGATTATGAATGATGTTTAGAGGACTCTCCAATGTTGGAGAAGATTGAACAAGTGAAATGGTTTTCTCTTCCTCTGCTACTCTGCTTTTGTGAAAGAGAAGGAAGAAAAATTTCTTTCAAGCTTTAGTTATTGAGGCATTCGGTGGAAGAAAAAAGAAAAAAAGAGAGATATACACTAGAAATGAGTTTCTCTTCCTCTTTGCTTTGATTTCGTGAAAGAGGAGGGACATTTTCGTTAAGGTTTTAATTTGAAGCAATTAGTGAAAAATGAAGGAAAAATGAAATAAAAAAGGGTCAATGTGATTTAGTATAAGTTTGAAGCAAAGTGATGATGCCACCTCATAATTTGGAATGCTTGTGAGTGTTAAGATTGATTAATTCATGACAAAAAAGGTTAAATAGTAATGTAAAATTTTAGAAGTGGAAGGACATTTTAGGAAATATGGTGGCACACTACAAGAAATGTTGTATCAAGCCACATGATTTAGTGAAGTGAAAAACACGTGGCAAAAAATAGGCGTTTGCGACGTGTTTATCACATCACTAACATATTTAACATTAAAATATTACGTTTAAAGATAACACGTGAATTATGAGATTTTTATTTTTTTAAAAAAAGGTTGTGACGTGAATATCATGTTGCAACATTTAAATTTAAATATAAAAAATTGAAAGGATCATGGCGTACAGAAGAGGAAAGTTTGAAATTTTCAAAATTTTGCTTGTGAAGTGTTATTCACATCGCAACGTTTAAGAGGGAAAAATATATGATGGTGAAGTGATGGGGTACAGGATGTGCAGGTTGAGACTGACAAAAATTTTGACCGTTGCAATTTAGTGACATGTTTTTCACTTTGCAAATTAGCGACGTGTTTGTCACTTTGCAAATTAGAAATTTAAAATATATTCGTTGGGCATTGCGACATAAATTTCACTCCACAAGGTTGCGACGTGAAATTCACGTCATTAGGTTGGACTTTTAGATCAACACGCCATTTATGTTTCCAAGACCACTTACTTTACATACAATCTTATCATTTCTCTTCTACTCTCTTCATTTCTAATATCTCTAAACTTAATTTATTTTCCACTTACTTTTACTCTATTTCTCTTTCTCATTGCAACCTTCATTCATTTTTACTCTCTTTCTCTTCCTCATTGCAACCTTCATTCATTTTCCTAATCTCCAAACTTAAGGTATTTCTATCATTTTTTTTCTTCTACTATTTTTTAAGTATTTCGGGTCACACTTAATATATTCTAACTTAATTTATTTTCAATATTTTTATGTCAAAATGTTAAAGTTTAGAAGATTGAAAGAGATATTTGAACAAAAAATTGAAGAAATAATATTGGAACAAGAAGATTGAAGGAGATTGAAGAAGAGATATTTTTGTCATTATTTTTTTCTTCTTCTGAATTTCATATATTATTGGTTGTTATTTTTTAAATATTATGTTTTTTTTTGGTTAAATATGTGTATTGTAATATATATTTAAAACGAAAATGTTATTCAATTTTTTTTAATATATTTATTTAAAACAAAAATATATTATTTTTTTTATTAAAAAAAAATTACATTCATTTATATATAAATACTTATTTATCAAAACAGATTTTATATATAAATAAAAAAATTATATTATATATTTATATAAAACAAATTATATTTATTTATTAAATAAAACAAATTTTATTTAATAAATCAGTAATAAATATAACGTAAATGTAAAAAAGTTTTTTAAAGTTGTGAAGTGAAATTCACGTCACAACTTTATGCAGAATATTGTGAAGTGAAATTCACGTGGTAAAAAAGTTGCCACACATCTTCCTGCCACGTGAATAGTCACGTCGCAAAAACTGTATTGTAAAGTGAAAATCATGTGCCAAAAAACAATTTATTTGTAGTGACACTAACTAATCTTAGAGCAACTTTAACGCAGGGTTGTTAAACCAAAATTCCTTATAGTTTACGTTAGTAATAAGGAATTTGCATTATAGTAGAGCTGACATGACATCCAAATGAACTAAAATTTAGTTCTCATTATCTATATAGTTAACGTTAACTATTCTTGTGAAACCTATTATAATATTATTTAATATTAATAAAATATTCCAAATATTTCATTTTAAATAGTAACGGTCATATTACCATTTTTTACCTTCTATAAATTCTATAGAAACTTTAATTTTTTTACATACAGTTTTACTTCTAAATTTTTTTCTTTCAATTTTCAATCTTATTTATTTATCAAATGGATGACAACCAATCAAATCCTTATTATAATTATATTTCTATGAAAATGTAATTTTTTTTATTATTATTGTTGTGAATTTTGTATCATTTTTAATTTTATAATAAAATATATTTAATATTATTTTTAAGTTTTTAAGGTAAATTTTTTTTAAAAAATATATGCATTTTAAATAAAATAATTAAATTAATGGTAACTTGAATAAAAAATATAAAATATGGGATCAAGTTTTGGTTTCTTATAAACAACCACCATTAAAGTAAAAACTACTCAAATCAACTATAAATTTTTTAAATCCTACAAATCACTTTGGGCCCACAAAAAGTATCTTAGTTTACCCATTTAATTTACTCACACTAAAGATGCTCTTAGGTAGTTAGTTAATTAAAAACAAAAGTTAAATAATTGTGTAAATTTTAGAAGTGAAAGGGAATTTTAGAAAATATGGTGGAACTAGCTAATCTTAGATAGTTAGTTATGTTAAATTCTTTACATTTTTTGAATAATTTAGAGATCTACAAAGTGTTCTTTCTATTATTTATTATAAGAATAACTTCACTTTTTAGATATATTAAATAACTAACTATATATATGATTTATATGCTGTCTAAACTAGTTAAATATCCGTATATTATCGGATAAATGGTTTAATATTTTGTGTAGTTGAATAAAAGTGACTCAACCTTTTTTTTCTTTCTCTAACCTGTAATTATTTTCAACTTATTTTATTGAATTTATTTAGCCCATGAAAAGTTTGTGAGAATATTAACGTAGTTGATGAATTTTTATATCATAAATTAAATTTTAGATTTCAATAGTTTGATTAATTTGAACAACTAAATTAATTGAATTTAACCATTTTTATTATTATGTTACTAATTAATTAGAGAAGAATCTCATCTTATAGATAGAATGCAACTTCAAATATATATTAAGGTCAATTGACTTTCCAAAAATTTAGAAGTTGCTATACCTTATCGGAAAGTCTTAGTAAAGTGTTTTGTAAATGTAAAGTCGCATGTTATTATAATGTTATTAATTAATATAAATATGAAAGAAATCTTTAATTTATTCATTTGTATCTTCTACTTAATTATAAAAAAATCAAAATATTAACTAATGTTTTGTCATAGAGTTATAAATTTTCATTATATATGTTTACGTATAATATTATATGTTTAAGGATAATGCTAATTTGTGTTTTAGAAATACAAGTTAAAAATAAAATAAAAAAATGTTATATTAAAAAATATGAATTGATTCTAATAAAAATATAAAAGTAACTTTTCTTTTTCTTCTTCTAATACAACTTTCTATAAGTTGATTTCTTAACTTGTGTAACATTACCCTATAATTAATACAAAACTTTCCTTAAATAAAACAAAAATAAAGAAGGAAAGCAACTTATATCTTAACATGGTATACATAAACATGGTAAGCTATACGACTTGTCACTTATCATATATTAAGCTTTTGTTATATACTTTGTCTTCAATTTAGAATTAATTTAACCTAGATGAAATAATAAAAGAGAATACACACATGTACAATATATTTGCTTTAAAGCAAAACTAGTGTCATGAGAGACGCAATGCATGGAAATTATAAACTATTACCAACATAGTGTTAATTCTCATTTTTTATGTTATAAGAATTATTATAAGGAATGCTATAAAGTACACTTTGGTATAATTTAATATCCGACGTTTGAAAAATATCAATAAGAAAATAAAATTATGAAATAAAGATTAAGTATTTTGAACATATATAAGAAATCATATTAGATTTTATAAAAGAAAGAGAAAAAAGAAGAATAATAAAAATTAATTAAAACTGTTTTATTATTTACTTTTTTTAATAAAAATTAAAGATTAAAAGTGAATATTAATAATTAAACTCCATTAACAAATATAAAAATAATTTAAGAATTTATAAAATAACAAAATTATAAAAAATCCACATTTAGCTTAGACGTTAACATCAATAGCATGTATGTGTATGTGATAGTAGTTGAATGGGGTATGTATCAACATTCGTGATTGGTAAAAGTACAGTGTGTTTGAATTTCAAAAACACACTATTACTCTTCTCAACCACGTGACGTCGCATCACCGACCCGCCTTTTTCCCCCTTTCCCAGTATCTCTTTTCAACTCCTCCGCCTCCACATTCTCTCTCTCTCTATCTTCTTTCCGTCCACACTCCACTACTTTCCTTCTCCGTCCACCGTCCACCCATAATGATCTGCTCCAACCGGTCCGAAAAAACCGGTTCAAACTGGCTCGACCGTCTTCGATCCATTAAAGGCATCCCAACCGGCGACAACATTGACCTCGACTCCTTCCTCCTCAGACTCACCGCCCATTCTCCTCAACCCCGCCCCATTAAACCGCCCCGTCGCCGTCCCACCGTTACCCACGACCCACCGTTAACCGCCGTCCTCGCCCAGCTCTTCAATCCTGGCGCCACCCTCTCCATAACCTCTAAGAAATGTCCTAGGAAGCAAACGAACCCTAAAATCTTCATCGCATCTTCCTCCACCACCGTCAACAATGCTCCCACCACCACCGGAGGCGATGCGGTAGTTGAAGTAGAAGATCGAGTAGTGGAAGAGAACGACTGTGAGGAAGATTTGAAGGGTTTCACGAGAAGCGAGGTTACGGTTATAGATACTAGTTGCCCAGTGTGGAAGGTTGATAAATTGGTTTTCAGAAAGAATAGCGTTTGGAAAGTCAGAGAAAGGAAATCGAAGACCAAGTTTTTCACAAAGAAGAAGAGTAAAACTACTCATGATCTTGATATCCATGAAACTGGGAACTCCAAGTAAGAGGTTATCGTGTTTTAAACTAAATTGTTTTCATGAATTTTTATTCTTCTGCTTGTAAACTTGACTAGTTATCCATATATGACTAAAGTTTCATTTTTGAACTTTGTTTTTCATACGTTCATATACCATATATGCTACTGTATTGACTTCATTTTTGGTGTTCCTGTATTGGGTTCTGCTGTTATGAAATGTCTGTGTTGTTTTCATTGTTATTGCATGCTAAGAAATTGGTGTTGTATTTATATTTTATGTTGTTCTCCCTAGACGGCATCCTTTCCTATTCAAGATATGTGTTGGTGGGAGCTTAAAGTGATTAATATCAGTGTTCCAACTGTTTATTTATGATGGTTTCACAATCTCAGATCAACTTTGGCTTGATAGCATTTTGGTGAACATTAGATTTGAAACCGCTGATGCAATGTCGAAAAATCTTTAGTTTCCTTGCCGGCTATGAAACACAGATAAGATAGAGTATCGGATATTAATATGTATCCTATACGGCGATACGTTACCATTTAAATAAGAGTAATGTTAACTTGTGCCTTTGGGGCACATGTTAAGAAAACCACTTATAGTAAATTTGCATTGGAAAAAATAATTTAAAAATTAAATATAAGATACGATGCGTTTAAGATACGTATATAAAAATAAAAATAAAATACTATCATAGTCTATTGATAACATAATCTTAATAAATTACCAGTGTTTTAAAAATCGGACCGAACTGGCCGGTCAAACCGGGAATTGGAGAGGTCACCGGTCTGGTCTGATTGTTGGATCGGATATGCTATTGAACTGGTGGAAACTGGCTAGAACTGCTAAAAATCGATGAACCGGTTGTTTTGGAAAACCAGCGGTTTAAATGCATGTTTTTTTTATCTTCATAATAACGATGCCGTTTCGATAATTTATTTATTTAAAAAAATTAAAATATAAATGGACTTTATTCGAAACTTATTTAGAACCATCTTTTTTCGTTTGTAATCAAATATTGTTCAAATTTTATTTGGATTTGTATTTTGTATTATTTTGTCGTGCGTGATGACTACGTCAAAAGTTTGAATTTAGAGAATGACCTTGTGAAATTATGAAATTTTGAAATTATGTAGGTGTTGTGATATTTTTTAGAGACCGAGTCATCCGGTTCGACCGATTTATTAAATATATAGTTTTTTTTATAGAGACCGGTTTATTCAGCCGAGTTATCTGGTTTAATCCGGTTTAGACATGCGGTTCGACCAGTGACTTAATGGTTCGACCAATGAACCAGCGACCCAATACCTTCACCGATTTGATGACCGGTCCGGTTTTTAAAACATTATAAATTACTGTATTAGTGAAAAATATTAAATCTAAGATATTGGAATCAGATTTGGAAGATGGCTGTTGAAGTTGTGTTGCCTCAAGATTATGCCTCTTGATGAGTTGTTTGGATGAAGATATGATAATGAGAATATAAACATGATAGCTATATGGAAGTAAGAATTTTTTAGTGCAAAAGTGAAGGATGAAGAAGAAAAAAATCATAGAAGAAAGGATTGTTGAAAATGTGAATAAATTTCAAATATTAAGAATGGAAAGAAAGTAAGTTACAGGAATTGAAAAGAAATAAAAGTTATGATTAGTATGAATAAATTTGAAATATTGAGAATTGAAACCATTAATTATTAGGAAAGAAATAAACACGGCTATTAAATAATCACCATTAGAAAAAATTGTAACAAGAAATAAAGAGTCATTAAAACAAATCTACTAAAAATTGAAAAGTGACTTATCTTGAAGTATAGGAGGTGTATCGCCGCCGTATCGGATATCATTTATTTAAATATATATTAATTCGGATACTTCTTCGATACGTGTTGGCGCCGTATCGAAGCATATTGGCGTACAGTACTTATCGGATACAATTCGGCAAGGATTTTGACGTATCCGTGCTTCACAGGTTACTGTTAATTATGATCAATTTCATGAGATTGGATTCGCAACCCTTTCTATGCTAACTTTCTTCTTTTAGGCTTGTTGTTGATACAACCTATATTACTCATAAGGTTAACTTAACTGTTGCTGGAAAATGACATTTCTTTTCATAATTTCATTACAGTTTCATATCTGATTCCTTTCCATTTTTCATATCATAACATACTAAATATTTGATTTATATCCAATTTGTCCGCCCAAATGTAGGTTTTGTAGGTTATTCAATCTAATAATATATCATGGTGGTTAAGATTACTTAACTTGGGTTCTAATAAAATAAATGTCACAATCTTATGTGATACATTAAAGCTTGTGTGCTATTATGTTTTAGTAGCTCTCTGTGTATATATATTCAGGCATGTGGTGTTGAATTAAATGTTTATAAAGATTATGTTACCAATTAGGCCAGAGTGATTCTTTTAGGGTAGCCATGTTAAGCTTTTTATACCAGTTTGCATCCTCTTTCGGCTACTTAGTAGCACAAGTAAATACAAGAAAGAATACATCTAACTCTAAAGGACTAGCGGTGGAGGTTAATGTGTTTATGATGCTTTTGGTCTCCGATTTTCCTTTTACTAAAACAGTCCTAATTCTCTTTTGTCGGGGTTGACTTAGCCACTCGGGGATAGGTTACTATCGCTTGTCTATTGTCCTCTTTCTCATATTTAAGATAAAGTATTGTATTATAGTGTTTTCACTATATACTACTGCCAGAAGTAAAACACAACAAGAAGCAATGTAAGAATGTGATATTGTAGATTCGTGATTATTGATTTTACTTCAAAGTTTTAAGAGACTCTGTTATAGTGTTATGTACAAGCTTCTTCTCACTGTATTTTGAAGATAAAACCCTTCGTGCAGCCCAGTTTTCTTTTTCCCTATACTTTGAGACATTCATAATAATGCAAGTATTTCAAAACTCTCATGTGAGATGTATCTCAAATCTTTCTCTACTAGCCATTGTATATCCAACTAGCCCCTCTTACAATCATCTAAATGGCTCGCATTATCCACACACAACCATTATGAGTCAATTGATCATCAATCATCTTCCATGATTTTATCCTTATTTGTTCTTTATTGAAAAATGATAGAAATGTGATTAGAGAAGTGGGACCTAGGCCAAGGGTGTGGAGAGTTTACACGAGGAAGAAAACAAAAGGAATTAAAGATGATGACGTGTCTGTGAATGAATTAAGGGCATGAGAGTGGCTATATATAGCTACAGCTGGAAGGGAATAATGAGGGAAAGAATTCTGTTAGGATTTGGTGGGGTCATTTGGTGATTTGGGAGCACTCTGTGCTTGGGAATTGGTAGCCACTACCAGTTTGTTATTTTCTTTTTCTTCCTTGTGTAAACTCTCCACACCCTTGGCCTAGGTCCCACTTCTCTAATCACATTTCTATCACTCTCACCTTTGAAATCACATTTGCTGAGCGTGTTGCTGCATCTGAAGAGAAAGTTCTTGCAGTGTTGTCATCACATTCCCCATCTGTGTCTCTAAAGCGTCAACTCGGTCACCCATCTTAGGCTTCCTTGGCATCTACAGTCGTCTTCTGTGTGTGAGTTTGATCCGGTAGGTCGGACCAATTGATGGGTCTTAAAGCACAAATTAGTAAAGAAATGGATAAAACAGTGTGATAAGAAACAGTAATTGTATTACTATGAGATCCACAGTTACAGGAAAATGGGAAGGAAGAAAAAGAAAATAACAAACGGGTAGTGGCTACCAATTCCTAAGCAGAGAGTGCTCCCAAATCACCAAAAGTGACCCCACCAAATCCTAACAGAATTCTTTCCCTCATTATTCCCTTCCAGCTGTAGCTATATATAGCCACTCTCATGCCCTTAATTCATTCACAGCCACGTCATCATCTTTAATTCCTTTTGTTTTCTTCCTCGTGTAAACTCTCCACACCCTTGGCCTAGGTCCCATTTCACTAATCACATTTCTATCAAAAAAGTTCCAAGAAATATTATTCTCTTTATACATTTGACGTAAGTTTTAACACACTTGGTTGCAGTTCAGCATGAAATTTCCACGTCTTTCATTAGTTTTATTTCAATCTGCTTACTAACACAATTATACATATGTGAATCTGTTATTGGTGGTCAGCTTGTTTTAATATTACCACTCTATACCTCCCTCTCATTTCCCCTAAAAACTCGGAAATTTTCATTCCATTTATGTTTTTTTAATGTAAATCTGTAAGCAAACTAGTTTCTGCCAACTGGAGTTGATTTGTGATGTGTGGTGTTAGGTCGCAATTCCTGTTATAGTATTATTACCAGTATGCCTATGATATTTATTTTCGTTTCTTTCCTACTATACAGATGATATGATGATAACTACATTATGGTAAGTGCCGAACCATGGTGTTTTTCATGTTGTGAAGCAAATATGAATGCTCTCACCTTTGAAATGGCTAATATGTTGCAATAAACCAATTGATAAAAACTGTATCCATATTTCTTGGATGTGGCATGCCTGTAGAACACATGATTATGCAGTACAAATAATTTTTATATTTCATGCGCTGCCTTGTCCAGGGATAATGTAGTCAACATGGGAGGAGCGAAGCCTGTAAAGAAACTGAAGGTGATCAATGCCTAATCCCAAAAGAGGCAAGTGCATTTACTTTGAGCTTCTTGAGCAATTGACTCCATTTGATGCATTAATCAGGCTGTATATAAGAGGATCGGAACGAGATTGATTTAACTCGACTACACTGCAATAGTACAATGTAGTCTAAATGAATTGATCTTCTTCCTTTCATTTCTCCTCTTCAAATGCTATTCTGTTTTTTCTCTTATTGGCTAGAAATATAACACGTTGCTGCTTCCCCTTTTCCAGGGTTTACAAATCAAGAAAGGAAAACACATCTCCCATTAAAAAAATAAATAAAAACAGCTGCTTATTAAAAGAGCATAGGAACAAGAACATAGTCTAACAAAAGGCAAGAGAACCAGACAATAATCCAAGTCTTTACAGGTCATTTTACATGAGATATATAATTGGTTGCAGCAAGCAATGATGCAGGCTTCACATTGGTACTATTTGACGGTGGCACTACTGGACTTCCATTGAAAACTAATCAAACAAAGAACTAATTTTCGTCGACTGTAATAAACATGTAGTTGCAGCGTTAAAAAACTTAGCTTTGTAAAACTATCTCTTCCATTTTTTTTATAAGGCTTAATACTTTTTGGTTCTGTATTTTAATCTTGGGTTCGTTTTGGTCCTTTAACTCTAAAAAGGTTTATATTATTGACAGAAAAATTTAAAATTCAGTTGTTAAATTCGTCTCTAACTAAACAAAAAGAATAAATATGAAACGTTTTTAACTAATATGAATTTTTTTTAAAGTTAATGGACTAAAATATAAAAAAAAAATATTAAACCTTTTTCTAACTTGAAACATTCTTTGCCCAATATATTTGCTGCAGTTGCTTTTATATTGTCATTTGTTACTAGGATCTATTCTTATTCTCATGTCATGTTTCTTGTTGAAATTACCTATTGAGATTCGGTTCAGCTTACCTATTGAAAATGGGTTAGAGATGTTTGAATATTTGACAATTTGAAAGGTTCATTAATTCACAACGTTTATGAAATAACACACGCTTCTTAAAATTAAAATGTTTATTATTTTATTATTTAATGCATTTCATTGATGAAAGAAAAATACTGCTGTAACGGTATTAATTTAACTCATTTAATTTTGGAATGAAAATTACATCGGTCTTAAAATTTGGAAGAAGAAGTATACCAATTGCAATTTTCATTTCAATTTGCAAGAAGAAATTGCAACGGTAATAAAATTCATCTGTAATTTTTTTAAATATAAATATCTAATTTATTTTATCACATTTTTTATTAACATGTAGTCTAAATTTTATCAATTTATTTTGTCTTATTTTAATTTATTGTTTACACTTTTTTTTTTTTTGTTGACAATGAACCCCAATCAACCGAACATATGATCCAACTTTATATAAAATGATGGAAGTCCTCGTATTCCAAATCAATGAAACAATTCATATTTTGAAAATCCACAAAATCCTTCCCATAATTCAAAATTTCAAAACTTTCTTTTTATCCCAAATCTACAAAATAACTCACCTTTTAAAAATTATTTCTATCATACATCACCTTATCCATATTAATATCAACAATTTTCATCTCAATCAACTAACCCAAATATGTCTCATGTGGTTCAAATAGGTAGTAGCGGTGTGTCAAATGATCAAGAAATGAAACACCACAATTTTGCACTCAAGTTAGCTTAGAAAATACTAACATTGGTGAAGAAGTCGCATTTGCACTTGTTATGAAAACGTGTAAACAAAGATTTCAATAGAAAGAAGATAAAATTCTCATTCAATCATGGCTCAATGTTTCAAAGGATTAAATTGTTGGAGTTGATAAAAAAGGAGATAGTTTTTGGAAGAGAATTGATGAAGCTTTTAACAAGCATCGTGACATTAATTACAAAGAGAAGAAAGCAACGACATTAAAAGGAAGATGGCACAAAATTAATCCATCTATTCAAAAGTTTGTTGGATGCTACAAACAAGCATTATCTACACAAAAAGTGGGAGCTCCAAGAACAATATCATACAAGCTGCATATAGAATATATTTCCAAGATGAAGGTGAACAATTTACATTTGAGTCTGCTTGGAGATTATTGAAAGATGAACTTAAATGGCTCACAAGTTCATCAACAGCTTCTGCAAAAAGAACAAAGAATTCAGCTTCGGGAGCATATTCTTCTTTTTCTAACCCACCGACACCAACGAGCAGTGAATACAATCCATCATCATCAACGAGCAGTGAATACAATCTATCATCACCTAATTTTGAACAAAATTAATCCATTTGTTCAAAAGTTTGTTGGATGCTACAAACAAGCATTATCTACACAAAAAAGTGGGAGCTCCAAGAACAATATCACGCAAGCTGTATATAGAATATATTTCTAAGATGAAGGTGAAAAATTTACGTTTGAATCTGCTTGGAGATTATTGAAATATGAACCTAAATGACTCGCATGTTCATCAACAACTTCTGCAAAAAGAACAAAGCATTCAACTTCTGGAGCATATTCTTCTTCTTCACAAGACTTATGGATTTGACATGCATTCTTTGAGGTAGCGGGTTCAAATTTTTCACTCGATCGAAACACACCATAGTTATCATTTGAAATTTTTGAAAATGAACACTCAAAACATGTATCATACACAAACTATATCATATATCTTTGAAGAATAAACAGGTAAAAGAAATAACTTACTTACAAAAAAAAGTTGAAACGATATTACCTCATCGTACAAATGACGGAGGATGCACTAGCATTTCACAAGGAACTCTCCAACTAAAGTTGAAATAAATGCAAAACGTGCCACAAAATCTTTTGACATCAACGATCTTACTACTTTTCTCTTTGACAATGTACCAAATAGTGTGATTTTTAATATATCCAAGAAATTTATTGATTTGATGATTATCCTTTTTGGTTGGACTTTCATTCTTATCATTTTCATGATAGTTATCTTACTCCTCCTCAGATTTCATCGTCCTAACTTGATCAATCCCTTATTTGATTTCCTTGAGTATATCTTTTGAAGATACACCTGCATCATAGAACGAAATACCTTTTACGGCATTTCTCTAATAGGAAGCATTAGGCACAAGAAATCTCCTATATTTGCATTTTGCAATGGTATGATCTTTCTTGCAAAAAAAATGACAAGTTAAATTGTGAGGAGAGTGACATTTTCTATTTTGATCCTTTTGAACAAAGTTATACCTTTTATAAGAATTATAATAACGCATATTATATTCTGTAGTATTAATAGCAAAAGTGACATTTGATTCTAGAGCCTTGTTTAATTTAACCTTTAGAGTGTTTACTTCTTTTTGCCAAATATGACAAGTTTCACAACCGAACCAAGAAAGTTTTTGATCCTTATTTTTATCTTTTTGAATATCTACCATATATTTCTTAATAACCTCTATATTATCATACCCCAATTTTGACCATGAATCACTGAATCAATACAATTATCATAGCATCTGCGTCCTCTATATAGCATGACATGCATTTCATCTTGCACAATGCTCAAATTGTCAGCCAGAATAAATTTGTTGGATTTACAGGCAGATCGGTCAAACTCTAAATCTTAATTGTCTGTAAAATCAGTAGACGAAAAATTTCAAAATCGAGCTTGCAGATGCCAATTATATTAGTCTATGTTTTGTGTAGTTTAAACTGGCGTGCTCGTTTTTTTTCCAACCACTTTTTCGTTCGCATTTTAATCGGTCTGAGTATTTTAACCTGTCATTTTTTATTTCAAAATTTGATTAAAACCTGTATGTTTCTGAGAAGTTTATTTCACACGAATTATTTTGGTGTGTTCAGTTTAATTTTCTGAACACTTTTACGTGCATTTTTTATTTATTTTGAGTCCGTTTATTTTTATTTTTTTGTCAACATGTTCGTCATAATTAAATAGATTTTTCTATGTTTTTGTTTCAACTTAATTTCGATTATTTAGAATAGTATATTTTTATTTGTTTTAGTTGTTTAAAATTTATTTTTTACACTAATAATAAGACTAAAGATAGTATTGGCAATGCATTAAGTCAAATGAACCCTAAACATGTCCATATAAATACTTAATTGATGTTGAAAACTAAAAAAATGGTCATGAGGCCTACAACAACCTCCTTATCGCTCGCTGAGTTTGGAACTAGAGAAAAGTAACTAAAGTGAAAAAATAGTGAGTTTCAAATCATTTCATTTTCAACAATAAAAAAACCTGCTCATATCTCCCTCACTCCATGAACATTAGTCCTTTCTCCATTTTTTCTTTCATGTAAAACTGATCATCTCTTAATACTTTACAATAAACCTCATTTTTCTTTCGCAATAACATCCATTCTTTCTTTCACTTTAATGCAATTACTTTTCGTTCCATAATGATAAATACTAACTCAACAACACCATAGACATGAATTTAAACATGGATGTTATTCACCACACACATCTCAAAACTGTAAATCGATGCAACTATGTTTTTTTCTTCTTTCTATTTCAACTTTTTCTTATATTTCTTTTTTTATTTATTTGTTTATAATGATAAGCCAATGTTTTGTTTTATTTCAAACTTTATTTGATTTATTTTTAAATATTATTTTTTTAGTTTTAATAATAATAATAATAATAATAATAATAATAATAATAATAATTGATCGTACCTGATTAGAAGAGATTACTGACTTCCACGCGTCACTGATCTGGAAGCTGCTCAACAGAAATAGGGAGGAGGATGGGGGTGTACCGGCAAGACACTCGGATGCTTAAGTGAGTAAAGGACCAGAGTGGGAGCAAATATAGAAGTTAGGTGTAGAGAATGAATACCTGACCCTCTAGTGAAATAGGGTATTTATAGAGAAACCCCAGTGCAGGGCCAACATTTACTTGTGTTGGGCCAGATTGCCAGACCCAACCCAAGCAATTGCTAGGGCTTACGTGGTGTAGTGAAGACCAACACGTGATCTTTGCCCTAAATTAACTGCCCCGTGATCTTCGGAAGGTGGACTGACCAA